GAGATGAAAGTCACTTCCCCTTTAACCCATAAGGGATGAACACCTCCTCTGAATCTTCATAAAGGTTGAACACCTCCTCCTAATGCTTCACGAAGGATGATAGGCTTTTAACTCAGCAACAACAACACTCAATCACATTCCCTGTGAAAGTTCTCGCTCTATGCCAACACGCCAAGCTCTCAAAGCCACAACACAAGGGTTCAGCAAACCCTAGAATACTTATCATCGCACACTATAGATAAGATTTTTTGAAATACACTTATTTCATATTTTGTATTTCATATTTTTGAATGAGAGCCCAATCTAATTTATAGAGATCTCATTCAAGGATACCTCCAAAAATTCGTTGTCAACTAATTAACGTGTGATAACCAATTATCCAATTATGGTAATTAATTATGCATTTAATGAATGCACAACAGTAAAAACTTGCTTAAAAATTCTCATAATTGCTCATTATAATCAATTATGGCAAGTCATAATTGATTACTAATAATCGATTATTATAAATTGATAATCAATTATCTTGAGTATAAAATGAGGTTTTCTGATTCAAAAAACATTTTAATGCAACCTAAGGCAAACAATAAATAGAATCAAAGATACACCACATCCTATACATAAATCTACTAAATTACAAAAGCTTTAATATAAAAACAAGTCTTCATGAAGATCTTTCTACAATAAACTTGAGACTTGACTTTGAGACATCATAAAAATTTCTGTTCTTCAGCTTTACGCTAACAATGGACATAAGAGACGAGAAAGTGTGGTTCAACGTGTTGGAAGCTGGGAAGCACCCGATTGAAGATTATTTTTCTTTTATATTGACTTATTAAGTGATGTTGTAAACAATTTTTCTTTTGGGTTCTTAGACGTTTTTTCAACTTTTTCTCCATCTTGGGACTCTTCTTTTTCAAAAATATCATTCATAACTTTGGACGACGAAGAAAATTATAAAGCACGTGATATTGAGGACGCGATGTCAATAAATGATACCTTTGTGGCATCCGAATGTGATTTTAGGGTGCTGAGACAACCTTAGGCAGTAAAATATTGTCATTTATGGTACTGCCACCCACTTTGGAGTTGAAACCCTTACCATCTCATTTGAAATATGCTTATCTTGAGAAGGGAAAGAAACTCCCTAATATTATATTTTGCTTACTTATGAGCAGGAAGAACAATTGTTGCAAATTATTAGAGAACATAAGAAAGCAATAGGCTGGACTTTGGCATATATATTCCTGGTACTAGCCCTACTTTTTTCATGCACAAGATACTTTAGGAAGAGGATGCTAAACCGGTAACACAACCTCAAAGAAGACTGATGGAGATTGTCCAAAAATAGGACACCAAGTTGCTACAAGTAGGTATTATACACCCCATTTCTGATAGCACTTAGGTGAGCCTTATACATGTGGTTCTCAAGAAATATGGAATCACAATGATTAAGAACAAGAGGACAAGTTGACTCCTATTTAGGACAACAGTGAGTCACATAACTTAGTAGTTGACCATGAAGGAGGTAAGTACTCTCATACTTTTTCTTTGCATTCTATATATAAGACATACATTGAGGACAATGCATAGTTTAAGTGTGGGGGTATAGGAAAACAATTTACTTTGTTCCCTATTTTGTTTTTTTTAATAAATATGTGCAATGAATTTGAGAGTTTGAATCAGTAACTGGGATGATCATGAATTCAAGAGAAAAAAAAATGAGTCATGCTGACATGATTTGCTGATTGAGTTGATTTGAAAATTTCTTCATTAGATCTTTTGTGGAAAAAATGTGAACCATGTCAGTTTTCAGCCAAATGTTAAGGATGAGTTACCATGTGTCATACCTATTTTTCTTGAGTGATTTGTCCATGCTTTGATTATACTTTAATATTTAGCTTGATTCTTTGTTTTGCGACTAAAGTGAATAAGCATGATCTGATATGATTGAGACATTTCTTGTTTTAGCTACTTGGCCAAATAAATTTGTCCTAACATTAATCCATTGGAAATCCCTTTGGGTCTTAAGTCTATTTTTCTTGTTTTCAGTCATTGTCGAATGAGAAAAGAAGAAAAACCATATGTTTCTTATCTTAGTAAAGAAGAAGGAGTAATGGATTGTGTTAAAAGCAAGTGATAAATAAGTGTGTGGGTGAGTACCTCACCCACAAAATAATAAAAGTGGTAAAAAGGAAGATGAGAAGTCATAGTTTTGAAGAAAAAAAAGAAAGAAAGACAAAAGAACAGAAAAATCCTTCTTAAAAAGAGCAACAAGTAATAAAATTGTTTTAGAAATCAAGTGTCATTACTCTTTCTATATCAATTTCAAAAATTCAGAAATTCCAAAAGAAATTCCCTTCTTTGCCTTGACCTCAATATAACCTTTAAAAACCCTTCATGATCAATAATTGCATGTTTTCTGAGGTATATGAATGTTAGAGTCTTGCTAAATATCAAATGTGTCTACATACATGAGTATTTTGAGAGTAAACACAAGCCAAAAACACTTGAGAGAGTTTGGGACAAATAGATACATTTTGACTTGAGTGATATCTTTCATAATTGATTTTATTGTGAATTCAAAGGGTCACCTCATGTGTGAAGAATAGAGTGATTTCATTTGCATGTCCATGACAAGTTGATTTCTAGATGATTAATATGTATCTGGTATTATTCATTCTTTTGATCCAAATGCAAATATGGAATAAAATGACCCAGAACAAAGCCTTGAAACTAGTCAATTTGACAACCATTACAAACCCTTATTTTCTAGCTTGGGTTGCTCTCTATATCTATTCAATTGGTTTATATGATATTCTATACATTAAGAATACTTTAGAAATAGGATTTTAGACTAAAATGGATACCCTACACCAACTTGCCTACTCTAACCTACCTAAACTCACTTCCACTTTTTCTCATGCAAAATTTAACATCCTAAAGGTCCAAACAAGTCAAAAAAGATCTAAGAACAGACCCCAAACTCTCTACTTTAGGCCATACCTAGTGCATTAGAACCTTACTAGCCAAAACCTCTAAAATTGAACTCAAAACCTTCCAAAATCCCTCTATTGACTCGTACCTATTTCCCTATTAGATTTATATTACCTCAAGGTACCAACAAGTCCCAACTGATCATACAACATGTAGTAGGTTACAAATTCTCTCCTTAGACTTTTACTTCTAAAACTCACCTATCAAAACCTTCATTTCTGACCAAAAATGACTTATAACTCAACCTAATCCACTTCTTCTCAACATTATAACAAATTTGATACAAGTAATAAACTTCACAACAACAACATTCATGACAATAATCAAGTCCATAAACATAGTTCAACCAAGTACATTCATCCAAACATACTTAATAATAAAACAATTATTTCAAGAACAATCAACATACATTAATCTCACATACTACTAAATATCATTCCATACTTCATAATTCAAATTAAAAGAAAAACATTAGTTTCCCTTACCTTATCAGAAATGCTACCACAACTCTATACAATGTACTACCCTTGCCCAACTCAAGAAACTCTAGAAACACCTACAAACCACATAATAGTGATCAAAGTAAGTCCTTAGAACCACTGATCGACAAAGAGCTGAAAAAAAGGGAGAGAACAAGATATGCAAGAAACTCTAGTTACATATGTCTTAAACTAAGAATTAATGAAAAAAGAGTAGAAATTTACTTGCTCTATCAAGAAAACTGATGGGTAAAGAATGGAGAGTATAGTGTTATTATCTCCTAGACACCTCCTGATCGTTAAACAGATAAGTCAGGAGTCAGAAATCTTAAAAAAAAAGAATATGGAATTTAGAGAAAAAATTCTAAAATATTGATGAGTGTTTAGACGAGTTTATAAAATTTTATTTATATTATTAAATTATTTTAACATTAAAATATTCAATTTTATTATTTAAAAACACCTATTAATTCTAATACTTTATTTTTTAATTCTTACATCAACTTGTATTTTCATAAAAACAAACCAACAATCGTAAGTGAAGAAATAAAATCATACATACTAAAATAATTTAAGAACTCATGTTTTCTTTATCATTCGAATATAAATTAATTAGTGTTTTTAATCTTGTATAAAAGAAAAGAAAATCCAAATTAAGTCTATGGAGATGCTTAAATGGCTGAAAACACATTTTTTTTTCAGGAGATGGTACTTTGACACACAAAAAAAATATTACTCCCATTTAAGACTAACTTTCATTATCTTTTTTTTTTCTCTCTTTTTCTTTGGAAATACAGAAAGATTATTTTTATTAGATAATTTTATCCTGGTAAAAGATTGTCAAATGTTAGTAATATATATCAAATAATTATTTCTTTAACTATGAACTTTCTTACAAGTTAATTGTACCGGGGACAAATTTGTGTTGACAATTATGGGGCTAGCCGCCTGGCTACACATACCTCTATATTTCTTTTTTCTTTTTGTTCTTATTTTAATTTTACCATCTTTAACATGTATAATAAATTTATCCGACCGTAATTGTTTTATTTAGTATGATTCACTTTCTGAAAATATATTTAAGTGTTATTTATGTCATTTTTTACCAACTATTTATTTTCCTTTATAGTTTTCAGTGCGAAAATAATGATATTTTTTCATTCTATACAAATATTTATTTCTCTTTTAAGATATTTTCTTCCAAGGATGACTGCAACGTCTAAAAAACAAAATATCTCAGTATTTATTTCTACTTTTAGTAGTCTTATTTTTCTCGTGTGCGACCGTTGAATTTCTTTTTGTTTCCCATGTATCATTCTCAGAGGAAATTTTGTTCAGGAGAGTTTCAAACTAACTTCTTTCTTAAGAAAATGAGAATAATTTTAGTGGAGATCTTGAAAGAGATATGCACTTTCACAGAAATTTCTTCCTCCACGAGTTCATTGCTGTATGACCAGTCAACTTTATGCAGAAGAATCTAGATCGAAATTGCTTTTCTCTATTATTCATCACTCAATGGAAGCAGTGACATCATGATTTTATATATCTTATCTTTATATACAAACACACACGCAAACACTATTTATTCAGAAAGAGATTAGAAAGCTAAGAAAGAGAAATGGCAGATCTATTTTTGAAGCAGGCAAAAGAATATGCAGATGCAAGACCAAGTTACCCTCCACAGCTCTTCCAATTCATTGCTTCAAAGACTCCCTCTCACAACCTTGTTTGGGATGTTGGTACTGGAAGTGGCCAGGCTGCAAAATCTGTATATATATTCACTTTCTGCATGAATTGTTCACTTTTCTCTATAATTGTTTTTCGTTTTGACCTTAGTTTGTGTTTTCAGTTAGCTGCGATATACGAGAATGTGATAGCCACTGATGCTAGTGCCAAGCAACTTGAATTTGCAGCCAAGATTTCCAATGTGCGATACCAGCACACTCCTTCAACCATGTCAATGGCTGAGCTTGAAAAACTGGTGGCATCTGAGGGAACCGTGGACCTTGTGACCATAGCCCAATCCCTGCACTGGTTTGACTTGGCAACCTTCTACCAACAAGTGAAATGGGTCCTGAAGAAGCCTAATGGAGTGATTGCTGCATGGTGCTACTATTTGCCTAGAGTTTCTGATGAAACAGACACTGTTCTTGATGAATTCTATTCTAGTGAAGTAGGCCCTTATTGGGACCCTGCACGTAAATTGGTTGATAAGCTTTATGGAAGCATTGATTTTCCATTTGAAGCTGTGGAGGGTGCTGATCACACAGGACCCTTTGAGTTCGTGACAGAGACTTTGATGGATTTGGATGATTTCTTGACTTACATAAAATCATGGTCAGCGTATCAGACGGCTAAGGAGAAAGGAGTGGAGCTTCTTCCGGAAAATGTAGTTCAAAAGTTCAAGCTTGCTTGGGGAGAAGATGGTAAAAAAGTAGCCAGGTTTCCGATTTATTTGAGGATGGGAAAAGTTGGGGATGCCTAGAAATATGCATACCGTTACTTCGGGTTGGAAGATGATCGTACTTGTTTGGTAAAATAAAATAATTTAATAATTAATTATTTTCCTTAGTATAAATTTTTATGTAGAATTTGTTTCTATTACGTAGACACATATTCAACAGAGTATTTTTAGATTCTGTTTTTTTTTAACAATTTCTTACTGTTTTGTTTACTTTAAAATATATTTCAATATTTTTAAATATAAACGTTAATAGTTAACAATAACCTTGTATCATAATTGAATTAAAAAAAAACTATAATAATTTTTTATAATTTATAATTATTTAGTCACAAATTCCCGGCCCATGTGTAGTGTTTTAATTAATTATTTTATTTAATCATACAGTTTTTTTAGAGCAATACTTTTCTAATTCAAAGTAAAGTTTAACTCATCTAATTTGCACATTAAAATTTAATGTAAGATTTGACACTAATTGTTAAAATATTTAATTAAAATAACCCAAAAAATTATTTAGACACTACTTAATACTTGTCGTTCCTTACCGCACTGAAATTAATTCAAAATTTAAAAATATTTTGTGATCAATTATCTAATATTAATCCCCTCTTGAACGTACTCCAAAAATTTATAAGACTTTTTTTCACTTAATCATCATTTAAATTTTAAATCAGACAAGCGTATTTGAACATTATTCAATGTGTAAACGCAATATATAATAAAAATATATTTGTCATTTTGTAAGGTTTGTTTGTACTAAAAAGATAGTTCGAAATTCCAAAAATCCCAAACCTATAAATACCATTGGGTATTCAGTTACCGTTTCTGTGGTGTGGACGCCAAAATGGGAAGCCTACTCGAGTCCATCGGAAATTTCTTCACCGGCGGCGAACAGATCCCGTGGTGCGACCGTGACGTCATTGCTGTAATCTACCTTCATTTCGATTTCCTTTCTTCCAACATTCCCTTCTCTTCTTTATGTTTTCAGTTCTTGGTTTCTTCATTTTAAAACCCTAGTTTTACAACCAGAAATTCGAATGTGTAAGGATTGATGATTTTTCTAGACGATAATTGGTTTCATTTCAGTGTGTGTTAATTCGTGGCTGATTTGTTTTGAATGAATATCTTATCGGATGGTTCGAATATATGTTTTTTCAGAGACATTTCGTTGAATTGATCTTGGATCTTTATTTTTTTTTCTTTTTTCTGAAGTGCTTAACCTTTGGTAATTAGATTTTAAAAGGATTTAAATTGAGTAGAAATGGAGGAAATTTTATTGATTATTCTCCGGTTAATCATTTATGGCGGTGGTGATTGCCGTGGGGATTATGAATACACTGTTTGACTTGGCCCTGTAGGTTGTGGTGAATTGGCTTGGATTTGGTGTAGGAGTGTAGCCTCTGGTGTTATTTGCTTTCCTATTCTCAGTATTGACTATTTACATGTTTTGAAGGGCTGTGAGAGAGAAGTTGCAGAGGCTGCTCGTGGTGACTCTGAGGAGCGGAAGAATGAGAGTATAATGAGGTTGTCGTGGGCTCTTGTTCATTCAAGGCAAAAGGAAGATGTTCAGCGCGGGATAGCCATGCTTGAAAGTACTGTAGATTACAGAATTATACCTTGATCTGCTTTTAAAATGGTTTTAAGTGGTTAATACTTTTTACTTATTCTTTGGCACTAACCATTTATAAACTTGTGATAGAAGTTATATTTTCTGTTTTTTCGATGCTTCCAAAATCAGTTGCATGTTTTCAGTTTATATTCTGAAGGCTCTGTAAAGTGCAGCAGTTTAAAAGACATCTTATTACTTTCTGTTTTTCACTGGTTGAGCTTAATCATCTTATCTGAGTGCCCCATCTCCTTTATCCCTGGATTTCATGAGTCATGACATCTCAAAACTGTAGTGCATTATTAATTTAAAAGTCTTGGTTATTAGCTCCGATTCCTCAGCTCATTATGGCAAAATTAATGAAAGGTCACTCGGCATAAAGCAACCCAATTGTTAGTTATGTGGTTATTTTACCAGCCTGATGGATAATTCAAAATAAGCCAAAATATCAAATGCAAGGCTTTTTTTGAATGGTCTCCAGAATCTCTCTGGTGTTGGCACTGGGGTCGTTGTGGCGTTGTGGCTTTCTATAGTTATTGTGCAAACTTTAATGTAATATGGTGAACTTCATAAACTATCATTTTCAAGGCAGCTTTTTAACCAAGGCCTTTAAGATATCTCAATTTTCCCATAGCCATTTATGTTCACTCCAAATAAAATCACTGGAAAAGTCGTTGTGGTTTCTTTATTAAAGGACTATGTATTTGGCCTTTTAATTTGCCATTTCTTTTTAATGAAAAAGGATAGCCTTGACCTGCTAATGCTGCTGTGTTCTGGCAATTGCCACCATGGCCACAACCTATTCTACTTTTTCTATTGCTTTTCTAATATATTATTCAGATGTTTGATATTAAAATATTCTGAGCCTGACCTTTATATCCATGGATAAGCTTTTACATCTTTAATTATGATTTGCAGCTTCTTTGGGCAATGATAAAAGTCCTTTGCATCAAAGAGAGAAGTTATATCTTCTGGCTGTTGGTTACTATAGAAGTAATGACTATGGAAGGAGCAGGCAGCTTGTGGAGCAATGCTTGCAGGTTTATGTTTCTCACTTGTAGTCAGTAGTCAGAATCTGATCATCGTACTTTGCCACTTCTGGATTGCCATTTCGTATAATGCCTCATTTTATGGATAGTGGAGAGAATTTGTCAGTTATTTTTTATAATACCATCTACAAGTGATAGATGTTAACTCTGTTCGTTGCATATAATGGATCATTCTGTTGGTCTGGGGGAATCCTAGGAATGTCAATACCCATTGTCTATGCTGGGAGTTTTTTTTTTTTTTTTTTTTTTTTTTTTTTTTTTT